TAATTATTAGGATGTTGATATGACAACGCATAAAGATACAAGTTCTTAATAAAAAAGTTAATAAATGTATTCAAACAATTTTGTTTTCCTTTTTTTCATTTATGTAATTATTCTTTGAAATTGAGAAACCCTTAAAAAATTAATAAGAAATTAGGAAAACCTAATAATTCAATAAAAAGAGAAAAAAATAAAAAGAAGAGAAGATTGAAAAAAAAGAACTCATTTGAACTAAAGATTATTTCATGAATAAATTAATTGATGTTCCTATTCAACAACCAACTGGAGTTGTGTTAGGTACAGCTTCTGTTATTGGTATTAAGTATGATAATGGAATTCTTATTGCAGCAGATACACTTGGATCATATGGATCTATGGCATTATTCAAAGATTTAGAACGAATTATAAAATTAGGGAAATATACATTAATTGGTGGTTCAGGTGAATATTCTGATTTCATTGAATTAAATGAAACATTACAAAAGAAAGTGTTTGTTATTCTTCAAATAATAAATTATTATTTGTATTTAATTTAAATAGAAATGGTGATGAATGTTGTGAAGGTAAAGAAAACGGATTTAAACCAAGTGAATTATATAGTTATGCCCAACGTATTTTATATGAACATAGATGTGATCAAAAACCATTATTTGTTACATTGATTGTTGGAGGAGTTAAAAAAGATGAAATTTTCCTTGGACAAACTGATATGTATGGTACATCATTTACAGAAAATTATGTTGCTAGTGGTATTGGTGCTCATATGGCTATGCCACTATTACGAAAAGAATGGAAAGACCATATGTCTCGAGAAGAAGCTGAACATCTAATTGAGAGATGTATGAAAATTCTTTATTTAAATCATTGTTGGGCAGGAAGTCAATATCTTTTAGGTGTAGTAGATTCAGAAGGGTCAGATATTATTGGACCAATTGCTATAGATACAACAGGTAAATGGGATATAATTGCTTAATTTAAATTACACAAAATAATATTTTAATTTCATTGTTTTAATTTCTAAAAAAAGAATAACAAAATTAATGAAAATTTGTAACTCAAGAGAATTGAGCTGTCTCTTTTTGTGTCTCTTTTAACTATAAAAATCAACAACTCCAAATCATAAGTTATTTAATTTATTATGGGAAGTCAAAATACAAAACCTTCATCCAAGAAAACTACTTCTCATTCAGGACCAAAAAAACATACCATTCCTGATCAATTCTCAACTATGGAAGAACTCCAACAAGCATTAAGAAGTGCAGGACTAGAAAGTTCTAATTTACTTATTGGTATTGATTATACTAAATCAAATACATGGACTGGAAAAGTGTCATTTGGTGGACAATGTTTACATTATATTAATCCACAATTTCCTATTTTCAACCCATATCAACGGGTTATTGATGCCATTGGACGTGCTTTAGAACCTTTTGATGATGACAGATTAATTCCAACATATGGATTTGGAGATGTTACTACCACCAATAAAAGTTTATTTTCATTTATGCCTAATGAAGCTCCATGTGCTGGAGTTGCTGAAGTTTTGAGAAGATACAATGAAATAACACCAAGTGTTCAAATGTCTGGACCAACAAATTTTGCACCATTAATTAGAAAAGCAATTGACATTGTTCGAACCACACATTCTTATCATATACTTTTAATTATTTGTGATGGTCAAGTTGATAATGAAAAAGACACTACGGCAGCTATTGTTGAAGCATCTAATTACCCACTTTCTATTGTTACTATTGGTGTTGGAGATGGACCATTTGATAAGATGGAAAGTTTGTTTTTTATTTTATTTTAATTCAATTAAACTAATAAAAGTAGATTATGATGATAATTTAACTGAAAGTAAGTTCGATAACTTTCAATTTGTTAATTTCTATGAAGTTGTTTCTGTTCGTCCTGACCTTCAAGACGTTGTATTTGCTGTTAAGGCATTACAAGAAATACCTGACCAATATGCATTTATTAAGGAACATGGTTATTTAGATAATTAACTTTCATTAGTTTTATTAATTAGAAGCATTTTCTTTTTTATAAAAGAAAACAAAAAAGAAAAAGTTGAATTAATTCACATGAAAGAAGAGAGATAATAATTCTGTAATAGAGATAGGAATTGTTGAAAAAGATTCTAATCGTAATGGTTCAGAATCTAATGGTTGTGAGAAGAATATTAAAAGTAAAAAAGATAGAAATAACAAATAACAAACCATTTACAATAGGAAGTTGAAAATGTAATAGAGGGTCTATTGGGTCATTTTGATTAAAAGTAAGACAGGTATTATTAGGACCAGTTAATTTAATAAAAGAGTCAGTAATTTGAAAACTAATGTTTTGATTTTGAGCACAAAAATCAATAATATAAGTAGACAAAGAATTAAAATCTAAATAAGATTGTTGTTCACTTAAAATTTCATTTTGAAGTAGTTGAGGTTGAGTAATAGAATTATCTCTATTCATTTGTAATATTTGGTATGGGTAATTAGCATTTATATTAATTCCAATTTTATTTGGAATTAATAGAGAATTAGAAAATTCATCATTTATTCGATATTGTTGTTCTGTTTGAAGATATTGTTGTTCTGTTTGATTAATAAAAGAATTACAATAGTCATATTGTTCATTGTCAGTAGAAAAAGAAACTGTAGGATATAACGAGAATTCTTCTTTTTGTTGTATCATCTCTTGAGTATTATCAATTATTTCTGACTGTGGTACAAAAAAACCTGGTTGTTGGTATTGAATATTTTGATTAAGACTTGTTTGGTTGTCAGATGAAATTGCAGTTAGTCTAGGTAATTTAAGTTCATTAAATGGTGGAAGTTTAATTATTTCAATACTTTTTTTATTAGAAAAACTAGATCTTCTTGGTTTTGTTTCTTCTTTTTCTTTGTTAATAAGATTAATGTATTGAGGTTGATTCTTCGTATAAACTTTAAATTCAAACTTTTTAATAATACGATTTTGTTCTTGTGGTTCTTTTACTAGTTCTTGTTCTTCTAGTCCGTTTGATGTTTCTATTCCAACTTCAATTTCTGTGTCACTAATCTCTTTATCTACTGAATTCTTTTTATGATCAATTTCATCTTTCCATAATTTCATAACTTCAATTTCGTCTTCTCCTTTATTCCTCTCTCCTCCAACAAGACTGTCGCTTGTTGGTTGTGATTCAAAAGTATTATTTTCCATTACCTTAATTAGACAAACTGGTCATCCAATAAAAGAGATGTTTTATGACTTTCCATTTTCTTTTATTAATACAATTTTACTACTATAAAATTTATTATTAAATAGTTTATAAAATAAAAATAAAAGTAAAAATATAAAAATAAAAATTATTAAAATATAATTTAGTTATCTTCTTCTGATTTAGGAAGGTCATTTACTTTACTCTTAATCTCCTTGTGTAATTCTTTCATTCTTTCTTTTTCTGCGTGTGTCATTGGTTTTTGGAATTTATTTACAATTCTATTAGTTGGAGGAGTAAGTCCAGATTTAAGTCTACCGCTATCATCGATCTTAGGAATATTATCTTTTTCATGAATGATAATTGCTTGTCCAATATCACCAGTTTTATATAAAGCAACATCATCATATGATTTATGAGTTTCAACAACACATGGAAGACGAACAAGTGTTGCACAGAATTCTTTTCCATTAAAAGTACATTTACCAGAATTTTCTCCTTGAGGAATGTCAATATTAAAATCAACACCACCACTTCGAATTTGTTCTCTCAACACTTTTGCTTCATCTTCAGGAAGTCTTAATAATATTGGTTGTTCCATGTTAATATGAAACCTTTCTCCATCTCCTCTAATTGATAATTTTACTTCAAGATTTCCATCATCCTCATCACCTTCTTGAGTGCTCATTATATGAAGAACTTTAAATTCAACAGTTTATTTTTTTTCGTTTTTGTTTTTTTTTTTTCATGGGTCATTTGAAAAAGAGACAAAGGGAAAGTGATCTTTTCTTTGATTTATATATGTGGTACTCTCTTTGTGATCAGTTTCTATGTCTCCTGTTGATCCACCAACTCGTTGGGAACGACTAGTAACATTTTATCAGATCATACGTGCTCGAGGTTTCAATTTCCTTTCTAAGTATATTGATATAGAGGAGTATTATAAGTCAGATTATCTTGACATTGTAAGAAAAGTTACACTTGCATCCATTCCATGTTTGCTGGATTTTTTTGTTTATTTTAATAAAAGTACTTAATATTTTAGTTCAACTAATTCTAGGAATAATCTCATTATGTTGGCTTGGATGGAATCAGTTAATTGGAGGAATAGCTATTGTTTCTTCAGTAATAACATATGTCATTGAAAAACCAGTTCAGATGGATGGTGTTTTTATTCAAAAATTATATGAACCTTACTTCAAGATATATTTCTTTTTAATGTTTGTTTTTTTTGACTGATAAAAGTATCAAAGAAGATAAACTTATATTAACTATATAGAAGTGGTATTTTATGTTGTTTAAACTATTGGACTTTATTTGGAGGGTTGATAGAATTATGTGGAGGATTATTTTATGTTTATCTTTTTTATAAAGGAGAATTAATCAAAGCTTCTCAATTTATTGTTAGAGTGACTGAAGATGATATTTCAAAGTTTGATGGAATTAATGAACAAGAAGAATAACAAAAGTAACAATAATTTAATTGTTTTACATTTAAAATAATTATTAAATATAAACTATTTTTCAAAGAAGAGTATGTTTACTATTTTAGCTATTATCAACAATTAGCATATGCTATGTTTAGTTTTTTTTTATCCAATAATTGAATTAATAAACTATATTTTAATCTTTGATATGATTTGACTTTATAATTAAATGTATATTATCTTGTTGTAATAATATTATTGATAAAATTAAGTATCTTGATAAGTAATTCTATTCTATATGATAAAATAAACAATAAGTAAGTTTCTGTAGTTGTTAAAAATATCTTGTATATAATTCATAAATAGAAAATGAATAATACTTAGTTTGTATAAAAATGAAATAAGTTGAGCGTTTTTTTTTTCAAATAAAATGAAAGTAGTTGTAAGACAAATAATTAAATAGTAGATTTAAGTGAAAAAAGCTTCTAATATTTAGAAGTATCTAACTTTTTTATTTTTAGATTAAAATAATAAATAAGAATGAATTTTAATAAAAAATAAGAAAAAGAAGAAAGAATAATGAGTTATAAATGATCAAGTTTTATTATAGATGAAGATAGTATTTGTGAGTTATTAGATAGGATTAATTTTTGAATATGGTTTGCTTTAAGAATTTCTATTTGACAATTAGATAAAGTTAAGACATCAACATTATTAATTATAAGAGATTTAATTCTATAACCAAATGAAGATAATTTAAGATTTGAGCATTGTATAATATTAAGAGGAGTATTAACTTTATGAGAAATTGAAATAGAAATATCACCATCAAATGAAATTGGACATAATAAAGGTTCTATAAGTTTAAGTTCTCTGTTATTAATATTTAAATGAACAATATTATCTAAGTTAGTGGATGATTGAATCAATTCTGTTGGAACTAAATCTGTTAAAGGACAAATAACTGATAATAGTGAAGATAACGAAGCGTTTAATTCAATTAATTCAGGAAGATAAATTGTACTTGAATTAACATTATAAATTGAAACATTAACAAAGTTTGATGAAGAAGAAAAAATGTTTGAATTTATAATAAGAGATACACAATCAGAAAGTGAAAGATATGAAAGAGAACAATCAGTTACAGTGAGATAGTTACATAAAGTACATGACAGAGAACAATTAAGATGGGACAGAGAAGAATTATTAAATTTTATTGCTTCAATTTCAATTGGTTTAATTTGGTTATTAATTAATGAAATATCATGACATTGAAGAATTTTAATTTGACTAATATCAGTAGAATTGAATGAACAATGATGACTCCATTTTATAATAAAATAATTACAATAATTATTAGTTATATTTATATTAGAACATAATGTTATTTGGAGTGTAATAATTTTTGGAATTTGAACATTTATTTTTTTTAGTCCAACAAGTTGAATAGTGTTGAGGCAATTATTTTGAAAATGAAGTAATTTGTTTTGATAAGAATTAAACGGAAGAATAAAATAATTATTTATTTCTAATAAAGAAAGAATTTCATATAATTCTTTATTCTCTATTAAAGAATTTATATTTAATGATTGTGGTTTTATATATTGATTAAGTTTTAAAAGTAATTTTGAATAATTTGAATGAAGTAAAGTAATTTCAGGCAAAGTAATAAAAGAAGGAAGTAACCAATAATCATCAGTATAACATTGAATAGATTTATCTCTAAAGTCATAAATTTCTAAACGACATAATTGTTGTAATTTAAGTAAAATGATATAATTTGTAATAGATAAATGAATAGTATTTTTTAAAATAATTTTAAATAAAATATGCATATTCATATTACTTTTTCTCATTTGATGAATAATAGAATTAAAATAATTAATATCATCATCATTAATAGTATTAATAATTATAATTTCTTGAATATGTGGAAGTAAAATAAGATTTTCTAATAAAGTAATATTTTCAATTGTTACTTTTTCTAATGATGTCATTAATTTTAATTCAAATAATGAAAATCCATTTTCAATTGAAGAAATTGAAGAATAAATATCTTTATTATAATAACCTTCATCTAAATTAATGAATAAGTTAGAATCAAAAATTGTAGGTGAATTAATTTGAATTCTTTTATGAAAATTATGTGAAGAAAGAAATAATTTAAAAAATTTGTATGGAACAGAAAGAGTTTCTAAGGAAGGAAATGTAATAAGAATAAAGTGTATTGTTTTTTCAAAACACTCAGTGTCATTAAATTCATTAATAAATGGATTAATTTTTAATCTACTGAGTGCTTCTTTACATTTTTTAGAAATAAGAAGAAAAGAATAAACGTCTTTGAGATTTTTTAGATATAATGCAATATTCATTAAATAGAATGTGTCCATTTTAAAACAAAATCTTTTATTTTATTTTTGTTTTTTTTATTTTTTACTTTTTTATTTTTTTAGCTAATTTTCCAAAAGAATTAACTTTTCAACGTTATCGAGGAATGTTGAATCAATAATGAATATGTTATAATAGAAAAAGGAATTTGATAAAAATAAACTTTTATTTTAGTTCAGGCGGATTCGTATCCACATTTTATCACTCGTTTCATTTTTAGTACAGATTCAAAAAATTAAATTAAAAATTCAAGTTATTTTTGAAATCCTTTCTAAAAATTGATTAACTTGAATTTACAATATGGAAGCAACATCTTCGAAGAAAAAGATAACAATGGAAAAGAAAAGAAAACACACCTTAGATTCTCGATATATCAAAAATAAGAAGGCAATACAATTGTCATATCTTATTGGATTAGTTAATCAGTTTTGCACTATTACATATGAAAGACCACGTAAGAAAGCAAGTACCACAAGACAATTATTTCATGTAAAAATATTAAATTTTAACAATGAAAATTTTGAAATTGGAGAGTATTTAAATAAACAATGTCTTAAATATTATGACGAGGTAATTGCATCAGGACTATCAAAGAAGAATGCTACAAGAAGATTTGAAGATGAAAAGATAGTAATATTATTTGATTTGTTGATAGATATATTATTTGAATATGGATTTATTATTTTTACATCAAAAATGAGAAATAAAGTAAATAAATCTAAAATTGATTTTATTGAAGAAGTTTATTATCGTTCAACATTAATTGCTAATGAAAAAGAAATAAGTATTCAAGGGACTCTTATCAATGACTATCTGTTTTCAAAAACAAATATTACTCATAGAGAATTTACGTTACAACAAAAAGATAAAGTTGTTATCCAATTTATTGAAAAAAATTATTTATAAAAACCTTGTCATTGATTTTATACTTTTAGTTTTTTTTGTTAATATTTTATTTTAACTATACTAATGGATTTTAATGTTACATATTTTAACTTATATTTATTATTATAAATAATATTTAAATCGAATAATTAATAATAAATATCTGCTTCAAATAAAAAGTCATACAACTTCTTCTATTTTGATTATTTTTATGAATGAAACTTTTTTGATTGTTTAAATAATTGTTGATTTGTTACATGAAACACTATTGTAAAATCATATTTTATTATATTTTTATTCATTTTATTTAAATCTTATTCTACTTAATTGACCATCAAAAATCCATAAAAATACCATACAATCAAAATAATTCTTGTTTACAATAATAATACTAATTAAATATATGAGAATTTTAAAGTAGTAAAGAAGAAAAAATATACATTATTAATAATACAAAAGAAGAGTAAAAGGATTTAATAGAGAGATAAGAATTGTAATAACAAACTGAGTATTTACTATAACTTAATTAATAAGTATATTGTTTTAAAGATTTCATAAGAACATTAGAAAAAATTTGAAAAATAAATGAATTGACTGTTGAGACAATATATTTTAACTATATTTTAATCACTCCAAAATATCCCAAAAAGTAAATCAAATTAGATATCTCCTAACAAGTAATTAAAAATAAAATAAATAATTCAAACCTTATCATAATAAAAGTATTAATAAATTTGTTTATTATCAATAACATAAAATTTGATAATAGTCATAATGTTTAGTAGTGAAAATGTAGTGTGCTAGTTGGAAGTGAGTAGAAATTTATTGTGATAATTTATTTTATTGAAAGTAAAATATTTCAACCCAAGTGAGATAGTATATTTGTTAGTTATTAGATCTATTATAGAACTTCCTTAAATGGTTGTTCAAATGAAAAAATTCTCACATAAATAAACTAACTCGTTTTAATCGTTTTGGTTGAAAAATAATTCAAATATTCATTCTTTACACTATTATCTCTTTGTTCATGAATCTTTATAGATTCCTGTTTGATTGAGAACAACAGACATCAAAACAAAAATGGTTTTTTAATTTATAAGACTTAATTTAGCTCATTTATTTATAAGATTAAAGGAACTGTAAATAAATGATACATAAAATGTTGTTAACTAAAATAAATATTCTAAATATAGATGTCGACTTTGATTTGAAAGTTCAATTTCAAGAATGAAAAACAGGAAAAATTCTTGATAGAAAAGAAAAAAATAATTATAGAGTTATCAGGTGGTTATTTTTCTTAGTTTAAAATAATTAAACAAAGAATTAACGATCAACATAACTCTGATCAAAATAGAAAGTAGAGAAGAAAACAAGTTTTGTATTTGAGAGAGTTAAAACAAACTCCTTTTTTGAAAAAAGAGAAAAAAAAAAAGAAAAATGATTTCTAACTACATGAATGAAAAAAAGATATTGTTGTTGTATATTAAAAAATAGGGGTAAAAAGAGAATAAAGACTGAAGAGAAAATATTTAATACAATTATTTAAACCTATTTAATTTTAAAAAATATATAACCACCACATGTCTATTGAACAACAAGTACCAAAAACTCCAAAGTATATTGTTAATAAAAGAAAACTTCAAAACTACGAAACTATGCAACAAGCTCTTCTTATTGGACTTCTTAATCCATTTTGTCAATTTATTATTAAGAAACCAAGAAAACAAACAATTGTTAGACATTGTATGCCTAAAGTTAAAACCATTAAAATTAATGATGAAGAAATTGAAGTAATGAAATTAGCAGATCACTTTTGTAGACCATTATATGAAGAAGAATGTCGTAAAGGAATGAACAAACAAACAGCGTTTAGAAGATTTGAAAAGAATAAGAAGATTTTTGTTATTAATATTCTTTATGATTTATGTTTAGAAATGGGTTATTTCTTTGATGCTCGTCTTTCTAGAAAAACTGAAAAAAGTCTTAGAATTGATAGAATTCAAAGAGTTTATTTACATGGAGAATATATTATGGATGTTGATGATTTAATGGAAAAAGGAGAATTAATAAATGATTATTTAAATAAAACAATTGCTGAAGAGTACCATGCTATTATTAGTCTTAATGATACAACAATTAGAAATATTTTCTGTTCTTGTATCAGAGAATGAATCAATAAATTATTATTGGTTCTGTCTATAGGATTTTTTTAATTGTATTTATTTTATTATTCTTTTTATTATTAAACAAAAACAGTTTTTAAAGATTCATTTAATTAAGAAATGTTATTTCTTTCTAAAACCTTCTTTTTGTTTTTAATTATCTTATTTTAAAAGAGATTCAATCTTTTAATTACTTAAACAAGAAGTTATGAGAATAATACTTCTGATATTACTCTCGTTATTTATTACTCTATCACCTTCATTGATTATTCCTTCTTCAACATTAGACGAATTTAAACAAACTGGTAGTTGTGGTGATGGTATTTGGGACTCATTTAGTGAAGAATGTGATGGAAATGATGGTTGTACCAATCTGTGTTATTGTAATAATGGTTATATTTCTGATGGAAAAGGAAATTGTACTATGCAATGTATGTATGGGAATTCATGTATTGGAGGATGTACAACACCAGATGTATGTATTTCATGTTCATCATCATCAGGTTTTACTGATGATTGTTCAAATTGTAAAGAAGGATATATTTATAATACTATTGGAGGTTGTAGACCATTACCAAACCGTATTTGGGGGTGTCAAGAATGGTTTGAAATGAAAGGTACTCCAGATGAATATAGAAATGTTACTATGACATCTGAACATCAAACAATAATTTTAGATGCACCTGGAATGTATTTTCCTATTCAAATTAATAGATGTACTCCTTATGCTTCTCAAGATAAACCATATGTATATGGTGCATGGATTGCTTTAAGATCTACAATAGGTGGATGGATTGTAGCAGAAACAGATAAACATTATACTTCAGAAGAAATTGAATTTGCTGAACAACAAAAGAAAGTTATTGGAAATGATTTTGCTATTAGTGAACAAAAGAATTGTGCATCTGGAAATTCAGTTTCACATCATAATTACTGTCTTGATTCTAATAATGATATAAGTGCTTATATCCATTCTCCTAGAATGGTTGTTTATGTAAATAGTGATGAAGTAAGGTATCTTCATATTCATTTACCATATGGTCAAATTATTAGTAATTGGTTTAAAATGCTTTTTACATCTATTGCTCATCCTTGTAGTACTTATTATAAACAGTTAAATTGGAATGAACTTTCAATTACAATATACTTTTGAATTAAATTATGAATATTCAGTTAATTCAAATTCTGTTTGTGTATCAAAAATTTTACGAGGACAATGGTTTAAAATTAAAGGATCAGATGAAACTATTATGATAGATACGTGTAATAGTTCTTTAAATTATAGTGTTTCTATTCAACTTATTGAAGTAAATCAAAACGAATCATTAACAGAATTTTCGTGTTCATCAAGTAAAGCAACATGTTCTCGTTATGTGGCTTCAAATTGTGAAAATTCTAAATTAGCTCGAATGGTTGCTCCATTAGAACCTACAAAGAATTATTTTATTTTTGTTTCAGTAGATGAAAATAATATTGGAACTGTTAATGTTACGTTTAAAACAGTTTGTCCATTTGGATGTGGAGAACATGGATTTTGTAATAATAATGGTATTTGTATTTGTGAAGATGGGTATGTAGATAATGGTGGATGTTCATTATGTGGGAATGGTAAAATTGATGATGGTGAAGAATGTGATTTATCTGCTCAGGAAGATAAGTATTGTGCTGAGACATGTAAATGTTATTTTGGTTTTACACCAATCACTATCAATGGAATAACTAAATGCTCTCCTTCAACATGTAATAATGGAGTTATAGATCAAAATGAAGAATGTGATGGAGGTAAAGGATGTGATCATTGTTTATGTCAAGAAGGATATGTTAAATATGAAAAAGCACGTGAATATTGTTTATCAACTAAATGTGGAAATGGAAAATTAGATGAAGAAGAAGAATGTGATAATGGAGATGGATGTTATGAATGTGAATGTCAAGAAGGTTGGTATAGTTATAATTCAAAGAATTGTAGAGACAAAAGTTATGGACTTGCAGCAGCAGATTTTATTGGTAGAATTTTAATACCTTATTGGATATTTTTAATATTGATTGGATGTGTTAGTGGTATTGTCCATTGGAAAGTTACCTCTAAAATTAAAAATGAATTAAAAGAAATGGAAGGAGCTTTGCCTTTCTTTGAAACAACAATTATTCCTTTTAATAAAGAAAATTCACAGTTTATTGATGTTAAATCATCAAATCCATATTTTACAATTGACCCACCTTCAATTGATTTCCAAGAAGAACGAGTTGAAGTAGGAGAAGTATATTCATATACTTTTACTATTACAAATAATTGGAAAGAAGTTCTTCATTATACATTCCATGCAGGAGAATATCTTAAATATGATATAACATTTAAACCTGTTACTGGATCATTAAGACAGTATCAAAGTGTTGACATCCAAGCAATGGTATGTTTAAAATGTACAACTGTTATTAATGAACGTGTTCCAGTTACTATTAGGTTTGGTCAACTAAATTCAATTTTAAAGAATATTAAAAAAGAAAATCCAGAAATGTTAGACCAACTCTCTCAAAATTCATCTCATGTTTCTGAAAATTCTCAACAACAAGGAGAACCAAGAAGATCTTTCTCTTCTTTATCAAACATAAGTAATAAGTCAGGAGGTTCTGATAAAAATTCTTCACATGAACAATCTCAACAATCTTCTAAATCATCAAAAAAACATCACACTGAAAGAATACGTAAATTCCATTTATATCTTCCTCTTCAAGCTGAATCTACTTTATCTACTAAGTTGGATTATGAAGAAATTCATTTACATCATCCTCCTATTGGTTCAGGTACATTTGGTATTGTTTATAGAGCAGAATGGAGAGGAGTTGATGTTGCAGTTAAAGTTATGAAAACTGATTTATTTGATTTAAATGATTTATTACCTAATTTCCTTCAAGAAGTTGAATTACTAGAAAAGATTAGATGTCCATTTATTATTAATTTCATTGGAAGTGTAACAAGCTCAGATACTTTAGCATTAGTAACTGAATTTTGTCCATTAGGGTCATTAAGAAAATATATTAAGACTAATTCAATGTCCATTGAATTAAAATTAAGATTTTGTCATGACATTGCATCTGGTATGGATTATCTTCATCAAAATGATATCATCCATCATGATTTAAAAACTGACAATATCTTGGTCTATTCAAAGAATCCTTTTGATCCTGTTGTATGTAAAGTTACAGATTTTGGAACTTCACGTTCATTTATTGAATCATTAGGTAAAACAGGAATTCAAAATATTGGTACTCCAATGTATATGGCACCAGAACTAAATACTGGAGAACAAGATATGACATTAAAATCAGATGTTTTTTCATTTGCTATTTGTTGTACTGAAATTTGGTTAGGTAGAGATCCATATGATCCAGAGAAATTCCCAGATTCAGAATCAATTTTAAAATTTGTTGGAAGTGGTAAACGAATAGAGTTACCACAAGATTGTTTGATTAAAACCATTATTGAACAATCTTGGAAACATAACCCAAAAGATAGACCTCAATTCGATGAAATTCTTCATTTAATTGATGGAATAGTAAAACAAATGAAATTAAATGTCTCACCATCTCAAAGTCAATCAAATATTCAAAATTCATTTGACAAAAGAAATTCTGTTGTTTTTATCAATCCTGAACAAAGCAAAAGCAATTCTTCTCATAACTCATTTAACGACCAAGAAATAGTACTTTAATTTAAATATTCCGTTTATTTTTATATTATTATTTTAAAAATATAAAAAAATTTAATGAATAAAAATATTTATCTTTTTAATACTAAGTTATTTTTAATTTCAATTTATTAAGTTAATTAATAAATATACTTTAATGATTTTTTTTTATTTAACTATATTGTTATATTTTTCTCTTTCCAGAATTATAATATTAATATTAATAAATACTTTCTAACATTAAACCTATATTTTAACTATATTTCCTCAATAACAATAATTTATATCTTAAAAAATTTTTATTAGTCAACTATTATAGTTGTGAGTGCTAATAATGTTACTGATTACATAATACACTATCATAGAAAAATTTAGGCACCACACTAAATGCTTAGCTACCTCTTTTTTATATCACTAAAACAAAGTTAACTGTTCTCTCTCTTAATACACTGAAGGTGATTTTATATTTTTTTTAAGGAGATTAAATTTTATGTTTTATAATATTTATATGAATTATCAAATAAGAACTCAAAAAATTAAAAAGTTATGTCAGAATTACAGTGTTTGGTATGTTATAATGAACCTAAACAACCCGTTATCACACAATGTGGTCATACTTTTTGTTGGAAGTGTATTAAAGGTAAGGTGCCTGGAAATTGTCCGTTTTGTAGTAATCCAATAACATTAGATTCATTAGTTTCAATCTTTAATGAAGAGGGCACAAATGCTCCAATTAAAAATGAAGTGAATAGTTCTAATAAAGATCTAGACGATGAAAATAATAACCAACGACCAGCCCAACATTATGAGGCAAGTAATGAAACGTTTTCAAACAATTTTTTAAGTTTATTCAATCATGATATAGGTCCAGGTATGACAGCTGAACAAGAAAGACAACTATTCACTATTCCAAGGTGGTTTAGTGTTGGAATTGTATTTATTGTATTCACTTTTATAGTTATTCTATGGGTGCAATAAAATAAATGACACACCTTAATTCAATTAGAATACAAAGGCTATTACGATAAATAGAGACATAGCGATTGGTATAATATTACCACTATTTCTTGTATTTTTTGGTTGTTTTTTAACACATTTTCCAATAGAATTGCATTGATACCCAACAACACAAGACCCACAATTTGGTTCACATCCTTTATTAAACATTCCTTCAGGAGTACATTCCCTCGAATTACAATATAATGTTTCAAACCCACATTGATTCACTTCGTTATAAGAGTCTTGATAACTTAGTTGAGCTTCTTTTAAAGTTAAATTGGTTGTTGGTCCTGTTGTTATTTTCATTTGAATACCACTCACAAACCCTTCACACTGTCGTGAATTTAAAGAAACTTCAATTTTCATTTCATTTTCAAATAATGTTGTTTTCATTTGGTCTAGTGAACAAACAATTTGTTGAGTAATACCAAGTTTATCATTAAAGTCTTCAATTACTAATTTAAACGAATTAATTAGTATGTTTTCTTTTGATTTAAAATTAAAACGAAGAATAAATACCTTAAATATTTCTGTAAGTTTCATAACAGATGGATATGTAAAAGTAAATAATGCGTTATTTAAATTATTGTCAAATATTAATTGGTTGGTTCCAAATATATTAAATACTTTTTTTGTTTCATTTGAATAAGTAAGTGTTGGAGTCCATGTAAAATATCTATTAATCGGGGAAGGATCCATTGTTGAAACTGTTGAACCAAATGTTTGATTTTGTGGTACAAATTTACATCGATTGGATCTATCCAGTTCAGTAAATTGAGTCTCACCAGGAAAATATAAAGAAGCATTTATTGTACTAATGTTTTTAAAAACAATCTGTCGGTCATTCCATGAAACTAATTTTACTGTTTTATCACTGAACAGTGGAAGTGAATAAGTGCCATCTTCATTATTCATTCTATATTGTTTATTTTCATAGATGAGATACTTGTGAATTGTATTAGAATTAATCACTTGAACTTTTACCATTCCTTTTCTTAATAAATCTTCACCAATTATTACAAGTGATGGATTGTATTGAAATGGACAAGAAACAGCTCTTACCGTCACTTGAGTTGCATGGTTCGCAGAGGCGTGTACAATAGTTGCAATATAATTATAATTATCATCATTTACAAATACAATTCTTTCTAAATCGGATTCTGTTAAATTATGGTTTGGTTTTGTTTTAAATGTTCCTGCTATCATACACACAAAAGGTCTTTGAGTAGGTCCTGTAATTTCCAAACACTGTCCACATCTACTAGAGTTATAATCAGAAATTTGTTTAATAAGATGTTTTTCATAAACATAACACTCCATATTTGTTAAATGTCCTGCAACTAATCTTTTGTAATCATTAATTTGACTAAAACAGTCTGGATTTCTTAGTACTTGACTTGCCACCATTCCGTTTTGACTTCCAATGTTATCACTAATGGCTGTGTACCATCTTGTCATACAGCCTGTTACTTGACCAAACACTAAATTGACTAAACTCAACAAGATAATAATCATAAATAATTTAACAGATCTTTCCTTTTAAAAAGTTGATTACAAATTGTAAAATATCTCAGTTTTATTCCAGTTCTAAATTCTTCAAACACGTTTTGCCAAAACAAAATAAAAAACAAATATTAGAATAAAGAAAAAGGATTTAGATTAAAAAAGACCATCAGAAGAAAAGATAAAAAAAAGAAGAAAGAAAAAAAAGGAGAGAGAGTAAAGAAAGGGGAAAAGAAGATAGGGAGAAGAAAATGAATAAGAAAATAAGAGAAGGAGGAATGAAAGAGATGAGAAAGAAGAAAAGAAATTGTAAAAGAAAAGAATGAGTAGTTTCAGAAGAAAAATAACAAATTTAATAAAAGTAATATAAGAATAA